TGGGTTCTCCCCTAGGTGTCCTGTTTGCAAACTTCTACATGGGTACCATCGAGCAAAAAGTCTTAGTCGACATGAACTTGAAACCGGCCATATACTGCAGGTATGTTGACGACATTTTTACACAGGTACCTGATGTCAGACATCTGCAGGAGCTGAAGGAGGCATTTGAGCAGAGTTCCGTGCTGCGTTTCACTTACGAGACGGAAAAGGATGGGAAGCTGCCTTTTCTAGATGTAACAGTCATGGAAAAGGGCGGAGGTTTCCACACTGCAGTCTACACAAAGGAAACAAACATAGGAATGTGCCTAAATGCCAACAGCGACTGCCCTGACAGGTACAAGAGGAGTGTTGTTAACGCATACGTCGACCGTGCTCTCAGCCACAGCTCAGAATGGAAGCAAGTCGACGAAGAACTCTGTAGGGTAAGGCAGGTTCTAGTCAATAACGGCTTCTCCAATGGTTTCATCGAAGACATCATAAGAAGGAAAGTGAAAAGCCATGCAACCTCCGAAGAGACAACTAACACAACACCTATACCCCCTATTAGACTATTTTACAGGAACTTCTTTTCCACAGCTCATAAAACAGAGGAAAGGGTCCTGAAAGATATTGTTAATAGAAACGTTATCCCTACAGACAAAAATCAGAGGATACAACTGACGATTTACTATAAAACCAGAAAAACGGCCAGCCTACTCATGAAAAACTCTCCAGACACGAAACAGAACGCTTTAAAAGAGACTAACGTCGTCTATGCCTTCAAATGCCCACTTGGGGACTGTAAGCTCCAAAAAACCCAGTATATAGGCAAGACAACAACATCTCTTTCTAGGCGTTTAACGATGCATAAACAACAGGGCTCCATTAAGGAACATATAATCTCTTCCCATAACCAAACCATCGCCAGAGAAATCCTAGTAAACAACACAGAAATCATCGATAGATACAGCGATAGCAGGCGGCTTGACGTTTGCGAGGCACTACATATATATATATATATATATATATATATATATATATATATATATATATATATATATATATATATATATATATATATATATGTCGTACCTAGTAGCCAGAACTCACTTCTCAGCCTACTATTCAAGGCCCGATTTGCCTAATAAGCCAAGTTTTCCTGAATTAATATATTTACTATAATTTTTTTCTTATGAAATGATAAAGCAACCCTTTTCTCTGTGTATGAGGTCAATTTTTTTTTATTGGAGTTAAAATTAACGTAGATATATGACCGAACCTAACCAACCCTACCTAACCTAACCTAACCTATATTTATAGGTAAGGTTAGGTTAGGTAGCCAAAGAAAGCTAGGTTAGGTTAGGTTAGGTAGGTTAGGTAGACGAAAAAACATTAATTCATGAAAACTTGGCTTATTAGGCAAATCGGGCCTTGAATAGTAGGCTGAGAAGTGCGTTCTGGCTATTAGGTACGACATATATATATATATATATATATATATATATATATATATATATATATGTCGTACCTAGTAGCCAGAACTCACTTCTCAGCCTACTATTCAAGGCCCGATTTGCCTAATAAGCCAAGTTTTCCTGAATTAATATATTTACTCTAATTTTTTTCTTATGAAATGATAAAACAACCCTTTTCTCTATGTATGAGGTCAATTTTTTTTTATTGGAGTTAAAATTAACGTAGATATATGACCGAACCTAACCAACCCTACCTAACCTAACCTAACCTATATTTATAGGTAAGGTTAGGTTAGGTAGCCAAAAAAAGCTAGGTTAGGTTAGGTTAGGTAGGTTAGGTAGACGAAAAAACATTAATTCATGAAAACTTGGCTTATTAGGCAAATCGGGCCTTGAATAGTAGGCTGAGAAGTGCGTTCTGGCTATTAGGTACGACATATATATATATATATATATATATATATATGTCGTACCTAATAGCCAGAACGCACTTCTCAGCCTACTATTCAAGGCCCGATTTGCCTAATAAGCCAAGTTTTCATGAATTAATGTTTTTTCGTCTAATATATATATATATATATATATATATATATATATATATATATATATCGTACCTAGTAGCCAGAACGCACTTCTCAGCCTACTATGCAAGGCCCGATTTGCCTAATAAGCCAAGTTTTCCTGAATTAATATATTTTCTCTAACTATTTTCTTATGAAATGATAAAGCTACCCATTTCATTCTGTATGAGGTCAATTTTTTTTTATTGCAGTTAAAATTAACGTAGATATATGACCGAACCTAACCAACCCTACCTAACCTAACCTAACCTATCTTTATAGGTTAGGTTAGATTAGGTAGCCGAAAAAGTTAGATTAGGTTAGGTTAGGTAGGTTAGGTAGTCGAAAAACAATTAAATCATGAAAACTTGGCTTATTAGGCAAATCGGGCCTTGCATAGTAGGCAGAGAAGTGTGTTCTGGCTACTAGGTACGTCATATATATATATATATATATATATATATATATATATATATATATATATATATATATATATATATATATATATATATGTCGTACCTAGTAGCCAGAACTCACTTCTCAGCCTACTATTCAAGGCCCGATTTGCCTAATAAGCCAAGTTTTCCTGAATTAATATATTTACTATAATTTTTTTCTTATGAAATGATAAAGCAACCCTTTTCTCTATGTATGAGGTCAATTTTTTTTTATTGGAGTTAAAATTAACGTAGATATATGACCGAACCTAACCAACCCTACCTAACCTAACCTAACCTATATTTATAGGTAAGGTTAGGTTAGGTAGCCAAAAAAAGCTAGGTTAGGTTAGGTTAGGTAGGTTAGGTAGACGAAAAAACATTAATTCATGAAAACTTGGCTTATTAGGCAAATCGGGCCTTGAATAGTAGGCTGAGAAGTGCGTTCTGGCTATTAGGTACAACATATATATATATATATATATATATATATATATATATATATATATATATATATATATATATATATATATATATATATATGTCGTACCTAATAGCCAGAACGCACTTATCAGCCTACTATGCAAGGCCCGATTTGCCTAATAAGCCAAGTTTTCATGAATTAATGTTTTTTCGACTACCTAACCTACCTAACCTAACCTAACCTAGCTTTTTCTGCTACCTAACCGAACCTAACCTATGAAGATAGGTTAGGTTAGGTTAGGTAGGGTTGGTTAGGTTCGGTCATATATCTACGTTAATTTTAACTCCATTAAAAAAAATTGACCTCATATATAATGAAATGGGTAGCTTTATCATTTCATAATAAAAAAATTAGAGAAAATATATTAATTCATGAAAACTTGGCTTATTAGGCAAATTGGGCCTTGCATAGTAGGGTGATAAGTGCGTTCTGGCTACTAGGTACAACATATATATATATATATATATATATATATATATATATATATATATATATATATATATATATATATATATATATATATATATATCAAGCCAATATGCAACTGAAACTCCACACCCCAGAAGGATTCGAACCTAGACAGCCAGGAGCGCTATATGTACCTTGGCGTACCTGGTACCTTAACCACCTGACCATACGACTGTACAAAAATCTTGGTAGTCGTGAGACTATTCCATCCTATTTCATCCATTTCATCATTACATTAATAAATGTAAATTATTTAACTTAGAGAGATTATTCTAGTCCTTGAAGACATTATGTAATTAAAGGCTTAATATATAAAATATACTGTGTAGCTATATAGTTTAAATAAAGACTAATTTGCTTATATAAGAGAAGTAGAATAATGATGCAGAAGCATCAGTTTAGAACTGATGCTTGGGACCTTGCTAAGCCTTAAACAGGCTTCGTGTTTGCATATTGATACAACCCGTCCTCCTAAAAATAACGTCACTTTTGGCTCGTATGCTCACTATGGCCAAATTTGGACGTAATTTGAAATGAAATCGACTCACAAAAGTGATGTACTGTCCCGTTTTCTGTTTGCGTCGTCCGGCCTACTCGGTAAGGTTAGAAGAGGAAATTTTCAATTAACGTTTTTCATAACATTTTGAAACCTTATGAGAATTTTCTGCCCACCTAACCTATCAGAGGACCCTTAACTTACTGTTGTTGAAAAAAAGTCCCAAATTTATTTTCATTTTTTCATTTTCAAATTACCTCCACTTTCGGCCATAGTGGTAAACCGCCAGAAGCAACGTTATTTTTAAGAGGACAGGTAGTTATACTTAACTACCTAAGATGCCCGTCTCCTTTTCTTTCTCTGGTTTAACCATTCGCCTTTAAACACAATGAAATCACGATAACGTGATGTATCTATAGTATGCGGCCCGCTCCAAGCAACAGCCTGTTGGATTGTTATCACAAGTCGAGCCTGGCCCCAGGCCGGGCTTGTGGAGTAGAACTCCGGCAACTCTCTTCGCGTAAACTCCAGGTAATAGAGTGCAATCCCACCCATTGTTATCTTTTGTCAGACGTACTTTATACATTCCATAATGTGCCGTGCTTCACACACAAGCATTTTAATGCAGCAGCTGTTGCTTGAGCAGTTGAGTGCAACCCGGGCTGGCAGTCACTCGCAACCATGTGTGTCAACTTTGGACACACGTACACGATTGAGTGCAAGGTTCAATTCAAGTATGACAACATTTGACGTGAAGAGTGGAAACCCCCATACTTTTTATGATCTGCTAGACTCGACTTGAGACAATTATAAGTCAATGCTAACACATTGTCCCGCATGGAGACCAAACCTCAAGCTAATGTTATCTACCGGTAAAAAGTCGGGGAATTAATTTTAAAGATTGTATGTATGTTGTTTTAATCAAATATTATATAGAGTTCTGTGGATAAAGAAATCTAATTATTTTGAAAAACTATTACACCATAAATCTTTAAGGGAAAGCGAGCCAGTTTGGCTCCAACCCGGCTCCTCGGGTTTCAAATGATATACATAAAAAAAAAAAAAAAAAATTAGCAGACTTGCCCCAGGATTGGTAAATTTCCTCTCGTTACTGTTGTGCCAACCATGTGTGTCACTGAGAACAGTGCCACGCGGTGGAATGGTTTACGAGGCGTTTGTGAGTAGTTAATGGAAGCCATGATGGAGGGAGGGTGAGGGAGGAGGCCCCGGGACGCCTCGGGACTCCCCGACAGATAACTCCCACACACCACTCCCTCCCATGCTAGTAGTCTCTCTTAGCACCAGTATTTACCTGTGTAACGTGTGTGATAACTCCCTCGAGGGACGTTTGATTTAGAGAAGTGTATGGTAGCAGGTAACAGAGCTACCATTGAGAAGAGTGTGAGTAGCTCTACCGGGGGCCCCTAGCACTGCCAGCGTGCACGGTGGTGTTAGGGCTTAACACCCTACTGTGTGTTATGTATTCACTCGTGTTTGCATTATATGAAGTGTCTTGAAAATAGTGAGTCACTGTAACAATGGATTGTAAGTGCTTGTTAAGTTACTGTATCCAGTAGTGCTACTATGCTCAGTTCTCAAGTTGCAGCTATTGCAGTGATATGGAAAGTTTTTTTTTATTAAGTCTGGGGAAAATTCAAGTTAAAATTCAGTCTGAAATAATATTTCTTACTCTTGGAAAGCAGGACCTATCAAAATTCATGCTGCATTTTATGAGGAATAGATTTAAAATCATGTGAATTATGTAGTCTACCTAACCCGAGTGTACTACCTGGGCCCCAGTAGTACATATATTGCAGAATGTATTGAATATAAGCCCATGGTATAACTGCACAAGTGTATTTCACTGCAAGCACTAGGATGCACTGTTTGGATATAATATGTATTATGCTGTTATACATTGGGCTAGTAGCTACTACAAGCAGTTTTTTGTTACAAGTCTATCATTATAATTGCATGTAATGTGTACAAATGAAAAATAAACAATGCCAAATAATACCCGAATGAGGTCTGATTAATAATAATAATAATAATAATAATAATAATTTATTTAGGAAAAGTACTTACATAGTTGCAGAGTTACAGTACAAACATTCTGTTTGATTTAAAGATAGAGGTAGTACATACAATACCCAAACCCACTAGTACACATAGCATTTCGGGCAAGAAGACCGGGCATTTCGGGCAAGGAGATCGGGTATTAAGACCTTTTGCATCCCTCTGAAATTCTTTTGTGCTAACCCTCACAGGACAAGTATGGGGCAGACAACTACCACACGATGGACATGCTGTGCCTTCTATAGAGTACAAGAGTGATGAAAATGAACCCTTACTTAACATAAGGCTTCTGAATATGTTGTACTGTGTTAGGCTTTTGGGATACAGAATAAAAAATGTATGTGCTGCCTGGAATGTTTGGGTTATATTATTCTTTACAAAAAATAAAGAATTAGAAGACTTGCCCAAGTATACTATATCCAGTGTAGCCACTGGCTTTAGATTTAGACAGTTATTATTCAGCTTGATTTTCAATAAGGCTTCTTTACAGTACAGTACTAAGAAAGTGCTGTATTTTCTGACATTACCAACACTGTTACAGTACCCAAATTTACCTGCAGATTAAGAACATTACTCATAAACACAAAGTACTAATATATAAAAGTAATAATATTCTATGATTTATTTTGTGATAATTGGTAGCCTCAGTAGCTGCTAATGTTATTGGTGTTAGCTGTTCACTTTATCTTTGCAAAAGGTTTTGGAAATAGTTACTTTCTTATTTATCTCCTGTGTAAGAGTTGGGAGGGATATGTTTACTTAATTTTTTAGTGTATTGTACAGTATCTATAAAGGCATTACCCAATCCCATCAAAATAGGGTAATAGGGTCCTGGTAATACAGTTGGGTTCATTCTTGACTTAAAATTAAAAATTCCGGGTTTGAGTCCCGGGCAGGACAGATAGTTGGGTGCATTTCCTATTTTTTTTTTTTTTTTTTTTTTTTTTTTTGAGATATATACAAGAGTTGTTACATTCTTGTACTTGCTTGTTTATCTCCTGTGTAAGAGTTGGGAGGGATATGTTTACAGTATCACTATCACCTAATGCATCTGTTTACCTAGCAGTAAATAGGTATCCAGGAGATTAAGGTACCTTGTTGAGGGGTTTCATCCTGGAGAGGTTCCGTAATTCGACCCTGGGGGGGGGGTGACCTCGATATAAACCTAACATGTACCAGCACCATGTATAAACTGGCTGCCTGTCCCCTGACACAATTAATTATTATAAATTATTAAATATACAGTATTTTAACTTATCATTTGACCAATTATTTACTCAAATTTTTTATAAAAAAAATGCTAAGTTATGTGGATTTTATATTGTAATTTCCTGGGCAAAATTTCAGAGGAGGGTTCTTAACAATGTTTTACTTTAAAATCTGGTATGAAACAAATTTCCTTTAAGATTTGGTAAAGTTAGGAGAGATTGTTAATACTGTACTAAGATGCATCCCCTTGTTGCAATGCTTTTCTAGTATATTTCTTTATATTCCTGTCGTGAATATCATACTTGAACAATAACTACGCAGAGTTAAAAGTTGCATATTTTTGTTGTTGAAGTTAGTGTTCTCAGGTTACTCCCTAACACCTTATGTAAACCCAGCAATGATGTTTGTAAAGTTATCTGCAGTATGTCATCCCAGCTGCTTGTGTAAAATTCTGTCCATAGGACACAACAGCTCATGCTTTAGAGCATGGGGGTTCTTAACCTTTCTATGATTCCAAACCCCCAGTATGTCCCCACACCCCCTTACCAGACTAAAAAATCATCATCACCACCAGCACTATTAGGTACTACTGTAGTATGATTTCAAAAGGTGTGAAAAGCTTGGTTTTACTTTCCAAGTGGATGGCTAGGAACAGAGCAGCTGAAAGAAAATCTAAAGTATTTTATCATGTTTATTAAAAAAAAAAAAGATTTCAAGATAGCTACAATTATAGTAGCGAGATTTTGCCAATTTTTATGTAAATTCAAAACATGGAACTAATTAAATCTACATTGATAACAGTGGTAGTAAATTCTAACCTAACAACAACTTTTTTTTTGTGTTCAGATGTCGAGTCTTATACATACCTCCATTATTTGGTTCCAGTCCTCTGAAAAGATATTGGAACCCCAGCTTTAAAGAGTGGCAAAATGATTTGTTTAGGAAGGCACTTTTCATAAAACTAAGATTAATTTGTGAATTACATTTCTCAAGTATTTTAACTGATCAACCTTTTCTAGCACTTCTACCTTCACACACACGTACTAGTGTAGTATGTTTACATATTCAGATCATATAAATCGGGAGACCTGGTGGCTGAGTGGACAGCACTCGGTGTTCATAGTCCTATAGTCCAGGTTCGATCCCCGGCGGAAGGCGGAAACAAATGGGCAGTTTTTTTTTTTTTTACCCTGATGCCCCTTTACCTAGCAGTACATAGATACCTCGGAGTTAGACAGCTGCTATGGGCTGCTTCTTGGGGATGTGTGTGTGTGTGTGTGTGTGTGTGTGTATAATTACCTAAGTGTAGTTACAGGATGAGAGCTACGCTGGTGGTGTCCCGTCTTCCCAGCACTCTTTGTCATATAACGCTTTAAAACTACTGATGGTTTTGGGCTCCATCACCTTCTCACCTACCTTGTTCCAACCGTCTACCACGTTGTTTGCAAAAGTGAATTTTATTATATTATTTCGGCATCTGTGTTTAGCTAGTTTAAATCTGTGACCTCTTGTTATTGAAGTTCCATGTCTCAGGAAATCTTCTCTATCAATTTTATAAATTCCTGTTACTATTTTGTATGTAGTGATCATATCTCCTCTTTTTCTTCTATCTTCTAGTTTTGGCATATTTAATGCCTCTAACCTCTCCTGGTAGCTCTTGCCCTTCAGTTCTGGGAGCCACTTAGTAGCATGTCTTTGCACCTTTTCCAGTTTGTTGATGTGCTTCTTAAGATATGGGCACCACACAACCGCTGCATATTCTAGCTTTGGCCAGACAAAAGTTGTGAACAATTTCCTTAGTATTTCGCCATCCATGTATTTAAAAGCAATTCTCAAGTTAGAAAGCGTAGCATAAGCTCCTCGCACAACATTCTTTATGTGGTCCTCAGGTGATAGTTTTCTATCTAGAACCACCCCTATATCTCTTTCTTTATCAGAAGTCTTTAAAGATTTTCCTCATAATTTATAGGTTGTGCGGGGTCTATGTTCTCTTATTCTACATTCCATAATATAGCATTTATTTACATTAAATTCCATTTGCCAATTGGTGCGCCATATACTTATTTTATCCAGGTCTTCTTGAAGGGCATTACAGTCATCTAAGTTACTTATCCTTCCTATTATCTTAACATCATCAACAAACATGTTCATATAATTCTGTATTCTATCTGGTAGATCGTTCATGTAGACAATGAACATTACGGGTGCAAGAACTGAACTCTGTGGTACTCCGTTTGTGACATTTCTCCAGTCCGATACACTTCCTCTTATGTTTGTGTGTGAAAATCAGGATTAAGGACTTGTCCGAAATGTTATGCATGGTAGTGGCTGTACAAGAATGTAAGAACTCTTGTACAGTATATATATAAATAAAAAAAAAAAAAATCAGTAATTTGGCCTAATCTACAATGATTATGTTGGGGATTGGTTATTTCACAAATCAACCTCCCTCAGAATACATGTACATATTGTACTGGTATCTCTTTTTAACATTTGGCAACATCCAAAATTTGGCAATCTCCAGTTCCAAAGGGGCTTGATTTAAGACTCCACTGTATTTGAATATTAATAATTTCCTAGCTGAAATGGCTTCTTTCAGCATCATTATTATTTGGTAAAATGCACACTTTTTGCAGGGATGAATTGATACCAGCTGAGAATCTGTGCCAATGGATTGAAACCAGGTATACTGTATCGTATAGTGAAGCAAGACACTGTTAGTATCGGAATGACGATTTGTCTTAGTTCAATAAAATTATAGCAATTTCTTACTTCACACACCAGGATGCAACAGGAAAAACAAGTTAATTTATGGTAAGTTAATATTTTTTGAGAAATGTAAATGCTCTACCTTGTTTTGTTTTTTTGAACATCATGTACCTTGTAATTTTTTTCTGGAAGGGACCTCTCACTGGCTCCCCAATCTTAACACTTGTACAGTACTACCTAACCTTAGCCCAACATAACCAGGGTTCCGAGACTCATCTGCCACCCACTGGCAGCCAGAACCAGAATCCGGCTCATTACAAGGTGAGGGAAGCACTAGATCAGCGATCAACCATAAAATTTGTAAAAGCCACACCAGAAAGTTACACAACAAGAGACGTGACTGTTTGAAGGAAATTACTGTAAGAGACACCCTTCGGTAAACAAGGTGTGGCATAATTCTGATGGGTTGTCTTCATCCTCATCTGCAGCTGTCTTCTTGGCTGGCATTTTAGGTGGCTTGGTATATTTTCTTCCTATTTCTATCCCACCTCCATTGGTGATCTTGTCTTGGTTTTGGTTTAACCATTGGCTATTGCTAGCTGCTGTTACCTCTTTTCCTTGGGTTGGTTATGCCTCCCTTAGTTTCTAGGTGTGGCAGTTTCATCTCTGCCTCTTTGGGGGTTCATTCCTCCTGCCAGTTTTTCTCCTGCTAGGCTTTCTTATTATGGTTCAAGGTCCTCCTCCTTTTACCTCCTCTTTCTGTACCCTTAATTGAGCCTGGTCATCCTTTCGGCTGTCTTTTGTTTGTCCTGGGTCTCGGTTTCTTCCACCTGCTCTTTGCTCTGGTAATGTTCTGGTCTGGGTATCCAGGGGTGACACTTCTTGATGGAGCTTGGCTGTGCTGGCCAGGGATTACTTCGGTGCTCCATTCCCTTTGGATGTTCTGGTGAGCACTCCGTTTGTTGGGCCTGTTCTCCTGGTTCCTTGTTTCAGTGCCCTGCTTTCTTGCTGGGTAGTTTTGTTTTCGTTCCTGCTCTGCTAAGGCTAGTTCCATCTGCCGCTTGTGGGTTCATGTTTTTTTACTCTTCTAAAAAGACATGAAGAGCCAGAAGACTTTTCAGTCCTCTTGTTATTTTCCTCACCGTAGCGACATAACTCGGGAAGATACAGACGGAGCCCCCAGAAATCCAGTGTTAAATGTCATGAAACGTCTCTTTCTGGTGGGTCCCTCTGTATCTCCCCATTTATTTTCTTCTCATGGTGCTTGGGTACCTGTTTAACTAACGTAGCTTCCCTGGTTCCTTGGGTTGCTGGAGCTGCCGGCAACAGGTGGAGAGTGTGTGGAGCTAGCTAGTAGTTGGATCTAGACAATGAGTGTGTTACATTGAAATATGACCACAAATGTCCTCGCAGTTTGAGTTTTTATGCGCCTATCTTTCTGGTGGGTTTTCCTTCGGTAATAATATTGATTTTGTTTTCCCCACACTCATGCCTCTATATAAGGGGCCAAAATTTACTCCTCATTTTCGGTAGGCATTTGTGATTTGAGAGAGAGAGAGAGAGAGAGAGAGAGAGAGAGAGAGAGAGGGAGAGAAAAGAGAAGGCAAGTAGGCATTTGCCTCCTCCTCCTTCAGTCATCACAATTGACTTGAGAATGGTCCAGGACGGACTGAAACATCGTTGTCCCTTCACTTTCTAGTGTGTGGTCTGGTCAACATAATTCAGTCACGTTATTGTGACTCATCGCCTCCAGTTTCCCCTTCTTTGTGTTGATCTAGTTCCAGGGTTCGAGTCTCCCAGGTTGTCCACAGGGTTATCGGTCCAGTACTTGTTACTGGATAGCCTGCAGTGTATCCTCATGCCCCGACGTTCGTAAGTTTGCTGCGCTAGCTGCTGTCTTTGGTGACATTCGGGCACTGGGTTTTTTGGAGGGCGAACAGGGTCCTGGCTGCTCGCTACCTTGTCAGTGTTCCCGGGCCTAGTCGGGCCTGTGTCACATTGGGTTGGTGGTTGCAGCCAGTTGTCTCGACTTGGCGTTGAGGAGAGAGGGCCGACCGCCTCCCGGGTAAGTCCCTTTTGTTTTGTCTTTGGGCGAGTAGCTCCGGGGAGCCGAAGGGGCTGCCCCCAGAAAACCAGCGTTGAATGTAATAAAATGCCAGTTTCTGGGTGAGACCCCAGTTTTCCCCCTGGCATCCCTCCCTTCGTCCAGTCGGTATTTTTTTCGTGGTTTTTGACATCCGGCCTCATAATTGCAGGGTGGATAACCGGCACGAGGGTCTGGAGCTCCCCCTTTCCCCTCCTGAGGAGAGGGAAGGTTGAGCAGACAGTGGCACGGTGACATCATGGTCGTTTGCTCATTTTCATTTAGGGAGTTCTGTCCACTAGTTCGGCTTTCAGTAGCAATAATTTAACCAGAATAGGGGGTTTGTTTTGGGGTGCCTACCTTTCTGGGTGTCTAACCCAGTCGATGGCAGACATAGAATGGTTCTAACCACACGTGTGTTTCTATAAACCATTGCTCCTCGTGCCTCACTGAGGGGGGCCAGGTTCCTGCTCGTGGTCCCCGGTAGGCCTAGACCTCCATGTGCAGTGACTGATGCCAGGGTCTAATACATTCATATCAGCCTAATTAGCTCCAGGGAGCCTCTGGGTCTCACCCAGAAACTAGCGTTTCATTACATTTAACGCTAGTTTTCCAGTTTTGTGGTTGTATCTGATCCTCTGCTTCCTTAATATCTTAAGAGTAAGATTCTTGTTCTTACTTGTGAGCGAGATTCTTGTTCTGGCTTCCAGAAGGTTGTGGATGGGTCTCAGAGTGCTGGTGTGTTGTGCTAGGGTTTGGTAGTATCAGAATTAAGCTCGGGAAGCTGTTGGAGGCCCTCAAGAAGAGGGCATTTAATTTCATTCAGTGCTCTTTTAAAGGTTGTTCCACAGTGCACTCCACCTTGCAATAATTGTCGAGTGTGAACTTTCTAGATTTGTGAGTGCTGCATATACAGTAACTTGTTCATTTTTGTTGTGTATTGCTAACATTCTCCCCTATAAAATTATATCCATGCTTTTCATGCAATTTCCATGTTATAATTCACTTGGCATTCCATTTCAGTTAATTGTTTTCTTGTATCCCAGACTATCCTTGTGTCCCAGACAATCCTGAGATCCCAGACTATCCAGACAAGTATTTAGTCACATGTGCATAGTAGGAAATTAATAACCTACATTTCTTTTTAATGTTCACTGTTTTTCTGGGGGGAACCCCTTCGGCTCCCCAGAGCTAATCCAGGCTGATATGCTAATGTCAGACTTCAGCATCAGCCATGTGTATGGAGTTCTATGGGCCTACCGGGGACCATGAGCCAGAACCTGGCCCCCTCAGAGAGGCAAGGGGAGCAATGGCCTATAGAAACCCCCGTGTGGTTGGAAGCATTCTATGTCTGCCATCGACCAGGTCAGGCACCCAGAATGGTAAGTGTCCCAAAACAAACCCCTATTCTGGTGAAAATTACTACCACAAGCCGAACAGATGGATAGAACTCTAAAACAAATGAGCAAACGATCATGACGTCACATACGTCCCCACGCTGCAGTCTGTGCAGCTCCCCCTTTCCCGGGAGGGGGAAGGGGGAGCCCCAGACTTGCCGTGCTGGCTATCCACCATCAGTTCTTTGGCTGATGCTAAAAGCTGAGGTCATGTGCTCTGGCTCCAGTGGTTGTTTCAGCACTGTACTTAGTGTGGTGACTGTCTTCTAGGTGGTGCGTGAGCCGGGAGTGATTCTCCAGTACTTGGGCTGCATGTGCCTAGGGTTTTCTTCCCTAGGTGCCCTGTAAGTACTGCCCTTGGGGCCACCTTCCACAGGTTCCTTGGGTTCTGCCTCTGCTAGGCTGTTTACTGCTTGGTTTTTGGCCGCCCTTTGTGTGCTCGGGTGTTCTGTCTCCCTTGTCCACTTTAGGGTAAGGGGCAGTTTTGCACTGGTGGGGCGCAGGGTGTCGCGCAGCTTGTTTTCACCAATCATGGAGGCCGGCTCTGTTCCACCTGGGTATGATGTCCTCTTGCGGTGATTTTTTTTTTTTTTTTTTTTTTTTTTTTTTTTTTTTTTTTCTTCTTATCTGCCTGGTGGGGGGGTCTGTCTTCGTTCTTGCCCCCTGTGCCCCCTGTGTACTGAGTATTCTTCCTTCTTCAGGGGGTTTTCCCTGCTAGGTCCCTGTGAATGTACATGTCTCGGGGGTTTAGTTCTTAGAAGGTTGTTTGGTAGCTTTGGGTGCCGGTTAGCAGTACCCTGCCTGGGATTACCTGAGTGCGAGTCCTCTTACAGTAAACGCTCAGGATCCTGGGAAATCCCTGGGGGCGGGCGGGTCCGATGGATGTGACCCCCGGAGTCCCCCCCCCCCCCTCCCTCGCTTCCAGTGAGTTTGAGGGTTGCTCTCACCCCTTGTCTCAGGGTGACTCTGTCTTTGCCACCGTCTGCTGCCTTTGGGGTTGGTGACACCTTCGGCCCGGAGTCCTGCGAGTTTTGCTGCTTGTTTTGACTCGGTTATCCCCCCTTTTTCTTGGGACGGGATGTCTCCGTCATGTTCCCCTCTTCTTTCGGTTCTACATGACTTTTGGTCTCGGGTGCGACTGTGCCTTTATGTGCTTTCGTGCCTTGTGCTTGCTTCTGTGTTCTCGAGGGCTCGGGAAGGTTTTTGCTACTTCCCGTATTATTGGAACGTCTGTCGTCTTTTGTTGTGACTTTCCTCCAGTCCTTTCTGGGGCTTGTTGGTACATGGTGCATGTGCACTTGTGTGCATTGGTCTGTCTTCGTTGCTCGAACCCTTGGTTTGGGTACTGGTTTGGTGACAACCCTTTGCACCTTCTTCAGTTTAGTTTATTGGAACAGGGCCTGCGACTTTGTGGGTTGGTCTTGTCCCTTTCGTTCCCGTTTGCTGCATGCCTTCTTCGTTCCTCATCTTCTTGCTTCACTCTTGTACCTGGCCGCTGGTGCTGGGGCTGTTCTTCTGGTCTTTATCTTGTTTTCTCCTACACACTGTTGTGTGTTTTGTTTGTGCCTTTTGGCCCTCCTATTGCCAGGTATGGGTTCTTGTTTTCCTGGCTTGCCCTGCCTGTTGGCTTTTTCAGGGTCTCGCGGTGTGCCTTCTCTGGAATCTCACGTCGGACCTGTAGTTTCCGATCTCCTGGCGAGCTTGCTCGCGCTGGGGAGTTTTTCTGTTTGGCAGACGTTCCATCTCCTTCCTTGCCGGCTTGGGTTACCGGCTCTGCTTCCTCGGTGGTCGCACCCGAGATCTTCACGCGGCTCCGCCTCTTCCTAGGATCGGATGAACCTTGACGGGATCAGTTAGGTTCTGCTCGAGTCTCTCAACTTTGGTTGGTGGTCAGATAGCTTTGTTGTTGGTGTTTCACCTGCGTGCTTCTTCTTAGCGCCGGTATGGGGTATATTGGCGGTCCTTCCTTTTTCTTCTGTCCCTTCTTCGGTAGCTGCTTTGTTGGCATCGGCTTGGCTTTTCTGGTGTGGGGTTTTGGGGTCGTCATCTTGCCGTATACTGTCACCTCGTTTCATGCGGCGCTGGTGGAGCTGCTTCGTCTTGCTTTCGGTCTTGGTGTTACATCTGCGTCGTTCGTATTCTATCTCGTGCGTCGTTTTACCTCCGGCCTACTCGTGTGCTGCTTGAGCTGTCCTGGTCTCTGGACAGTGTGCTCTTTCTTCTCCTCGATTGGTTGTGACCCCTTCGGTTCGGGTTTGTTTCTCGAAGGCTCTTTTCCTGTTGGTATTTGCCTCTTGGAGTTGGGTCGCTGAGCTTGCTCTCCTCAGGCGTGGGGGTTTCTGCTTCTTCGATCGTGGCGATTGGTTTGTTCAGTTGCAGCTGTCTCCCTCTTTTCTGGCACGGGGTGGGGCTGCTGCTTTCCGAAGGGGTCCTTGGTTTGTTGGTACTGTACTTGGTTGGTCGGGCTGGGGGTGCATCGTGTTTTGTGTTCGGTTGCGGCCCTCCACTGTTATTTGCGCGCCACGGCTTCTGTGTCCTGGACGCGCTTTGGGTTGATCCGGTTCCGTTCTTCCCTGTTAGCGGGTGAAGGTCTCTCGGGTCGTCCACCGTGTTATTGCGGCTAGCCAGCCTGTGTTCCTTCTCCGTGCCCCTGGCGTTCGTGGATTCGCTGCTCTTGCTGCCGTCTTGGTGGCATGTCCTAGGTGACATTCGGGCACGGGGCTTTTGGCGGTTGTACAGGGGCCTGGCTGCTTGATATCTCGTGTCGTTCCCGGGCCCATTCGGGCCTGTGACACCTTGGGTTTGGCGGTTGCAGCCAGTTGTCTTGACTTTGAGTTAGGGAGTGTGTGGCGACCGCCTCCCGGGTACGTCCCTCTTTTTTCCTCTGTGGGTAGTTAGCTACGGGGAGCCGAAGGGGCTCACCCCAGAAAACCAGCGGTGAATGTAATGAAACGCCATTTTCTGGGTGAGACCCGGAGGCTCCCTGGCATCCCTCCCTCCCTCCCTCCGGTCGGCGGTTTTTCGCGTTTTTGAGATCCAGCCTCAGAATTGATGGTGGAAAGCTAACGCGGTAGGTCTGAGGCTCCCCCTTCCCCTTCCCGGGGAGGGGGGGAGGTGTGCAGACACCGGAGCGGCGACGTGTTTGACGTCATGATCATTCGCTCGTTTCTTTTAGGGGAGTTCTATCCACCTGTTCGGCTTGTGGTAGCAATTTTCACCAGAATAGGGGTTTGTTTTGGGACGCTTAGCTTTCTGGGTGCCTGACCCTATCGATGGCAGACATAGAATGCTTCCAACCACACGGGGGTTTCTATAGGCCATTGCTCCCCTTGCCTCTCTGAGGGGGCCAGGTTCTGGCTCGTGGTCCCCGGTAGGCCCATAGAACTCCATACACATGACTGATGCCAAAGTCTGACATTAGCATATCAGCCTGGATAAACTCCAGGAAACCGCTGGGTCTCACCCAGAAAATGGCTTTTCATTACATTCAACTCTGTTTTTTTAAGAGATTTGTTTGTATTTGCAGATGGTATGTGTAATAGAACTGATTTTGGAAAACATCTTCGAAGAATTGCCTGGATGTCTGATTTGTTGCCGTTAATACTGTCTACACACATGTTCAAGAAAGATGGGATGCTACTACTTTATCGTCAGACAAATATTGTGACCATACGTATGGATAAAGATGCTTCGGTTAGAACACAAATATGCTTTACGTGATATCATTCACTATTGCCTGTGGAGTGTTTTATGTAAGCTAAATAACATAGGTTTGTAATACTCATTACACATATTTTTGTATTTTTTGGTATACTGTATTGCAGAAATCACACTAACTATTTTTAGCTCTCAATTATCTACCATTGCCTTCTCAAATTTTATTAGAATTTCTCTAGCTCTCTATTTCTACACGAGCTGGTTATAAAAAATAATAAAATATTGTACATTACTGCATATTGGTTAAAGTGTACAATGGATCCAATAAGCCCTACTTTGCAGGAGTTCTTAATCTCAAATGAGAACCCATTTGTGTGTGCTGAAAGTGGTGAGAGGCAACATGAAATAATGCAAGTAGAGGAGATGCACTTTAATTTTTTAGAGGATGAAAAGCATAAACGGCTTTCTTCAGAAATAGAACATAGACCTTATGCTTTCCTTCCAGACAGTGTGGAAGAAAATGGTGTTAGTCATGAAATGCTGCTAGGTTGTTTAGAAAGTGGAAACAAACATGATGCAGCTATACATGAACTATTTGTAAATCAGAAAAGCAATGCATTGGAATTTAGTGCATCAGATATAGATGAAGAGGAAATAAATGAGTCAGTGATTGAAAAAGATAAATGCAATACCTCTGAAATTGAATTGAATCTTTTTGAGTTCTCCAGGAATGAGAAAAGAGTGCATCCAATTCCACTGGAATGTTTGGAGAGCAAAAGGAAAAAATGCAAGACTAAACATAATGCTGAAGATGTTGTGCACACCAGAGACAGAATAAATGATATCAATGTCATAGAAGCAAATGATCAAAATAAAAACATAAACATAAGAGAAACAGTGTTTGTTTGTTCTTGGAATGGTAATATGAATAGTGAATACACTTCCTTAGAACATAAACTTTCTAAAGAAACTATATTTAATGGGAATGAAAATAATCTACCAGAATCAAAACAGAATGCAAAAGAAGGGAAAAATTTAGATGTAGAATTTAATGACCTAGAAGGGGTACCATTTCATAATTTTGAAGATGCTAAGCATTTATCTAAATCCTTCCTGAAAGAACAAGCACCAGTCGATGGCTTTGAGGATGGTCACCATATACATGTACCTCACTTTATAGATTGTAACCCAGTTGATAACTTTGAAAATGGTAACTATGTTTCCAAGTCTTCAGAACAAAAACAAGTTGATGACTATGAAAACAGAAACCGTGATTCAAATTCTCTAGAGCAAACACCACTTAATGGCTTTGAGAATGGTGACAATTCTAAATCCATTGAACAGGCATCAACTGATGACTTTGAAGATGATAGCCATGGTTCTAAATCCATAGAGCAAGCACCAACGGATGACTTTGCGAATGATGATAGTTGTAAATCCATTGAACGAGCATCAACTGATGACTTTGAAGAGGGCAACCATGGCTCTAAATCCATACAACAAGCACCAGTTGATGACTTTGAAGACTATAGCCATAATTCTAAATCTACTGAACAAATACCAGTTTATGACTTAGATGATGGTAACCATGATTCTAAATTCAGAGAAAAAGCACCAGTTGATGACTTTGAAGACAGCAACCATGGTTCTAACTCTATTAAACGAGTACAAATGGATGTCCCTGAAGACGATAGCAATGGTTCTAAATCTGTTGAACACGCATCAATTGATGACTCTGAAGATGGTAGCCATAAATCTAAATCCATTGAACGAATGCCAGTTGATGACTTTGAGAATGAAGATAATTCTGAATCCACTGAACAAGCATCAACTGATGACTTTGAAGACAATAGCCATAACTCTAAATCCATTGAACAAGTAGCAGTTGATGTCTTGGAAGACGATAGCCATAATTTTAGGTCTACGGAACAAATGTCATTTTATGACTTAGATGATGGTAACCCTAATTCTGAATCCATAGAGCAAGCACCAGTTGATGACCTTGAAGACAGCAACCATGATTCTAACTCCACTAAACAAGTACAAGTTGATGTCCTTGAAAACGATGACAGTTATTCTAAATCCATTGAACAAGCATCAATTGATGAATTTGAAGATGGTAGCCATAAATCTAAATCCATTGAACAAATGCCAATTGATGACATTGAGAATGATGATAATTCTGAATCTGCTGAACAAGCTTCAATTGATGAATTTGAAGATGATAGCCATAATTCTAAAGCCATAGGGCAAGTACCAGTTGATGGCTTTGATAAGTATGATTCTCAGTCTGTAGAAGATAGTAATACTAATTCTAAAACCACTAAGCAAGTATCATTTGATGTCTTTGAAGATGATAACCATGATTCTAAAACCATTGAAGAAGCACCAGCTGATGACTTTGAAGTTGGTGATGGTTCTGAGTCCATAGAACAAGTTGATGACTTTGATGATAATCAAGATTCTATATCTGTAGAGGATGGTAATACTACTACTAAATCCATGAAACAATTACCAGTTGATGTCTTTGAAGACAATAGCAATAATTCCAAATCCAATGAACAAATACCAATTGATGACTTTGAGAATGGTAACCATAAATTTACTCCTACTTCTCCTCTACAAGATTTACAATCAGATTGTTCGAATGATCAAAATGATAGCAAGTCTGGTATTGTAGACAAGATATTGTCTGAGTGTTTAGAAGTTAAATTAGATTGTATATCTGAAAAGGAGATCAAGTGCGAAGACACCATAATGGAACAAACAAAATGCTCGAAATGTGGCGATACATTAGAGGATCAAATTTCTCCTGAATTGGATAATATGGGGGATACAGTTAAATGTTCCAAGTGTTTAAAAGAAAAGGCTAATGTAAATGACAAAAAGGCCCTAATACAAATGGGAAAAAAATATCATATGGTGTTTAACATGGGAGAAAAGCCTTTTAAGTGTTACCAGTGCAAAGAGGAATTTAAAAAAATGGCAGAACTACGAGAACATTTGATTCTTCACACACAAGAGGAGCCATATCAGTGTGAAGTTTGTGGAAAAACATTCAGGTTTCAAAGCTCACTAAAGCGACATATGCTTTTTCATTCTGATGAAAAGCCCTTTAAGTGCACTCATTGTGGAAAGAAATTTAAAACACTTGGTCATTTAAATCAACATATGGCAATACATATTGGAAAGAAACCAGTTGAATGCATCATATGTGGGGAAGAATTCAAACAAAGGCGATATCTAAAGCAACATATGTTAACTCATACTGAGGAGAGACCATTTAGATGTGCCCTTTGTGAAAAAACCTTTAAGTACAATTGTGATCTTAAGGAACATATGTTTACCCATCTTGGAGATAACCCTTTTAAATGTTCTGTATGTGGGAAGGAATTCAATAGGAAAAGCAATCTTCGTCAGCACAGAGTAACTCATTCAAGAGAGACTCCATACAAATGTCCTGTATGTGCAAAGGGATTCACTCTTAATGGCAACCTGAAGCAGCATATGGCCACTCACATAGAGGAAAAGTTGTTCAAATGTGGCGATTGTGGGAGGGAGTTCAGTAATAAAAGTAATCTTATTCAGCATCGAGCAATACATAGCAGTGAAACGCCGCACGCGTGTGTCGAGTGTGGTAGAGCATTCAAATTGAAGGGTCACCTGAGGAAACATTTAATCACTCACAATGAAGATAAAGCATTTGAATGTCCAGGATGTGGAAAACAATTTCGACTTAGAGGTGATCTCAAGAGACATATTACCAGTATAAGTTCAGATAAGCCATTAGAGTGTTCCGAGTGTGGTAAGAAAATGCAGTGCAAAGGGGAGATGAAGCAGCACATGTTCACTCACATAGGAGAGAAATATGAGTGTAGCGAGTGTGGGAAGCTGTATACTCAGAGAGGTACTCTCAACCGGCATAAATTGTCTCACTCGGGGACAGAATCGCATGAATGTTCAAGGTGCGGAAGAGAATTTGGCCAAAAAATTAATCTTGAACAGCATATGTTCACACATATAAGTGAGGACTCAGAGGATTTAGATTGTCATGTGAATAATACCAGCCTTAAGCAAGAATGTTTGCCATTTATTGAAGATGGCTTTACAGACACTGAGAAACATCAAGAATATAATTTTATGAAACACATGATTACCATTAAAACTGAAGCAGAAACGGAACCAGATTCTGAATGTAGTAATATGATGTCAGAAACGGCAGAGAGTAACGACATTTGCTCTTCTGAATTTAAATACCATTGTGATAATGACTGCCATAATCTAGATAAATCTATAGAATATGTAAATAGTAAAGGTGGCACAGAAATTTTTATAAAACAGGAAGTTGATGAAGGATAAAAGACTGTGCATTGAATTGGCCATGTATGCAAAGATAGACATGTACAGTACTATATAAAACAAGGAATCCAGTGTTTGAACAGTTTAATACATTTATTGAGAAAGCTCAATTGAATTAGCATCAATGAATTATTGGTATTATCATGAGACTAGTCATAAAAAGATGGTTACAATATTTAACTTTAAATTAGTTTTTGAAATCATTGACCTTGCTTGAATTTAAGGTTTGAATAATTTGCTTCCTTTACATATATCTCATTGACTACGTATTTTAATATTTTATAACTTTATGGTTAAGTGTGTTTGCTTAGTCATGGAAAGCTGAATAATATTTGTTTCTGGGTCACACAGCTTAATATTGTGAAGGAATATATTTTGTCAAATGGCAGTGAATATCTGTGAAAGTAATAACGATGGATGTGCTTAATATTTTGAATGTAACCATATAAATAATTTGAAGGCAGATCATTTGAGAAGAGCATATCCTAACATTGAGTGATAGATGCACTATATACAAATTGCATATGCATCCATTAGCCTATACAGTTCACTCCCAGTTCTACATGGAGGCATTATCAGGGACCTTGCATTCAACTGAGCCATATAGTACAATATTTTGTTTAGGCTCTTGTGGGGAAAATAGGATGTACTCAGTGCTAAAAAATTATATTTCAATACAGAGTTTAAATAATTTAAATAATGCACGTGAGGTTATATGCTATTTCTGGGGGAGGGGGGAGCCCCTACGGCTCCCTACGGCTCCCTACGGCTCCCTACGGCTCCCTACGGCTCCCTACGGCTCCCTACGGCTCCCTACGGCTCCCTGGAGCTTACTAGGTTTATATGCTAATGTCAGACTTTGGCATCAGTCATGTGTATGGAGTTCTTTGGGCCTACTGGGGACCATGAGCCAGAACCTGGCCCCCTCAGAGAGGCAAGGGGAGCAATGCCCTATAGAAACCCCCGTGTGATTGGAAGCATTCTATGTCGTCCATTGACCGGGTTAGGCACCCAGAAAGGTAAGCATCCCAAAACAAACCCCTATTCTTGTGAAACTTGCAACCAAAAGCCACTGGTAAGGGGCACAGGGTGCTGCGAAGCTTGTCACCTATCACAGCGGCCAGCTCTGTTCCTTGGGTACATTGTCCTCTTGTGGGGTTTTGTTTTGCTTTTTGTTTTGGCCTTGGTAAAGGGTTCTGCCCTACTTGCCACTGGTGTTTGGCCTCATCCTGATACTTGGTGGTGCCCACTGCTTGGTCCCCGTGAGTGTACATGTCCCTGGGGTTCAACTGTTGACAGTTTGTTTGGTAGTTTTGGGCGCCGGTTAGCAGTACCCTGCCTAGTTTTTCCCTGAGCGCGAGTCCTCTTCAAGTAAACGTTCAGGACTCTGGGAATTCCCTAGGGGACGTGTGGGTTCGATAGATGTGACCCCGGAGTCCCCCCCCCCTCACTTGATGCGAGTTTGAGGGTTGTTCGGTCCCCTTGTCTCAGGGCGACCCTCATTGTTTTTGCCTCCGTCACACAGCCTGTTGGGTCGGTGACACTTTCGACCCGGAGTCCTGTGAGTTTTGCTGCTTGCTGATAACTCAATTTACCCAATCTGTGGATGATCATCTTCGGGTACAGGCTGCGCAGGCATTGCATTCTAGGTTTCATTTGTTGCAACGCGCTCGGTTAGTTGCTCACCTGGATGCAACGCAGCTGCTCCGTTTTGCTTATAGGGACCTGGACTTGGGGGTGGGGGTTGCTTCGACCCTGGTTCAGTCCGCACCTCCTCGTCTTTCCCCTCCCTTCTTCCCTGTTCTAGGGTGCGGGTCTTCCAGGTCGTCCGCAGGGTTATTAAGGCTAGCCAGCCTGCAGTCTATCCCTGTGCCCATGACGTCCGCAAGTTCGCTGCTCTTGTGCCGTCTTTGGCAATATGTCCTGGACTGACATTTGGGCGCAGGGATTTTGGCGGTTGAACAGGATCCTGGCTGCTCGTTAACTTGTTAACGTTCCTGGGCCCAGTCGGGCCTGTGTCGCTTTGGGTCGGAGGATGCAGCCAGTTGTCTCGGCTTCGGGTTGAGGAGTAAACAGCCACCGCCTCCCGGGTAAGTCCCTATTCTTTCCTCTGTGGGTAGTTAGCTCCAGGGAACTGTAGGGGCTCCCCCCAGAAAACCAGTGTTGAATGTAATGAAATGTCATTTCCTGGGTGAGTCCCGGAGGCATCCCGGCATCCCTCCCTCCCTCCGATCAGCGGTTTTTCGCGTGTTTTTGACATCCAGCCTCAGAACTGGGGTGTGGATCGCCGGTGTGATGGGTCTGGGGCTCCCCCTTCCCTCTCCTGGGGAGGGGGGGAGCTGCGCAGACAGCGGCGCGACGACGGGTGACATCATACTAGTTTGCTCGTTTTTGTTTGGGGAGTTCTATCCACTAGTTCGGCTTTTGGTCGCAATTTTCACCAGAATAGAGGTTTGTTTTGGGACGCTTACCTTTCTGGGTGCCTAACCCGGTCGATGGCAAACATAGAAGGCTTCCAACCACACGGGGGTTTCTATAGGCCATTGCTCCCCTTGCCTCTTTAGAGGGGGGTGCCAGGTTCTGGCTTGTGGTCCCCGGTAGGCCCAAAGAACTTCATACACATGACTGATGCCAAAGTCTGACATTGGCATATCAGCCTCGTTAGCTCCGGGGAGCCTCCGGGACTCGCCCAGAAAATTGCATTTCATTACATTCGACGCTGGTTTTTTGTTGAATGCAAAATAATAAGATGCAGTAAATTCTGATGAATACAAATTCTCTTTAAATAAAACACAGCTTAAATTCTATAAATATGCTTTTGGTTAAAACTTAATATTTTATGTAATATATACATACGTACTGTACAGTATGAAAATCACATGTTAATTTCTTTGTAACTTATTATATACACTGTACAGTATAAAGCTTACTGATGCCAAAAAATTTGATAAAATTTTCCAGGTTCCATACAGACATTATATATTAGTATAAAAAATCATGTAATATTAATTGTTGAATTTTAAAGTGAAATCAGGTATTAATATTTACCTTGAAGAGGCCTGCCATAAATCCCCTTTTTGAAGAACAAGGGGTCTACTGTGCTTTGTTATGTTTCCGGTTAGGTTAGGTGTAGATTAGTTTGAAAATTGTTTGTATTCTTATTTCAGTAGGTTTGTTAAGTTGTAAATTCTCATTAAAAAATAGAAAACTCCTAATGCCCATGTAGTAACTTAAGATTTGGAAGTTTTAAAATGACTGGACTATATATAAGGAGTCTTAGCCACTAATTTAGATACAAAATTTTTTAGTTACAGCATGAGTCTGCTTTAGTTTTTTGGTTTACACATTAAGCACTGCATATCTTGAGGCAAACTGTTGACTATTGATAACTGAACAGTATTATTTTGTGACAAAGTAATCAGTATTGCTTCTGTGTTGACAGAAACAACAATGATCTTTCATCTGTTTATTGCCATTAGACTTTTGCACTCATGTTGTAGAATCTATTAGGTACATAAGCATCTATTTTTTGTGTATAAATTTCTAGCTGGCTGAGTTTTATGTATGAGGGGAGTGTGAATGAGCACAACTGGATAATTGTAATTGCCTTTGTAAGGTAATTTTTCTCATTTTATTACTTTGCATACTTTAATTAGTATTTCCTGGTAGGGCAATACTTATGGTTTTGCTATTATTTTGTTCTACTACTTAATTTCCAGATATGTAGCTTGATAAATGCCTCTTTGGCTTGATATCAGACTTCAAAAATGTGTAATAAAACAGAGCTTCCTATTGAAACTGGGCAGTGTAGTCCCCAGGTAACCATTTTAGGACCTAACTTTAATGTTTTGTTGAGTGCGAGGAGGGGTCTTTGTCTCTGTTGTGATGACATTGCAATGAATTGCTCGAGGTTCATAAAATTTAGTAAGACACATTCTCCTAACACCAGATATGCTGGATAGTCTTCAGTTGAATCTGCTAATCCAGATGCTTTAGCCACATTTGAGATTTTAGTTTTTGTTGCTGTTATGGATATGTCAAGAATAATCAATACAGTGATTATAAAAGTCCTGCAGTACCATAGGATGGCATTTCATTTAGGAGTATTTTGAGTTATGCATGATTATCTGTGCAAAATACATGTATAATGATGCCTTTTTTTGTTCACAAGGTTGACTCCTCATTGCTGTTAAAGTTTCACAGTAAGCCAAGTTAACTTGGTGTTTCTGGCCATGGTAAGTTATGGCATTGTTAGCAACATGAATCCTGTTGGGCTTATCAAGGGGCATCCCTAACCAGAGGGTGATCTGTCTTTCATTAATTCAACCAGCTGCTGGCCAGAGCCAATGGTTTTTAACCTTGCCGACTGACTGACACGCTCATCATCCACTGCACCACACTCATGGCTGTGCGCGCGCACACACATACTTGTTTCACTTTCTCCCATAAGTATATGTTAAACCATGTTTTTCTCTTTAATGTTAGAAGTGTAATCAGTATTTAATTGCAAGTAAGGAACTTATTTTTTGTAAATTATTTGTGGAACAAGTATGGTAGGTAGTGAAAAAATATTGAAAATATTAATGGGACTGGTGAAATTTTTTGCTCATGTTCCATGACTTCTGTTTATATGTCATTATTTTCTTAGCGGTGATTTTTCCTATTTATTTTTAAACAATTGACAAAATTAAAAGTAAATTAGTCAAAGGAATCCACTTGGGTTTTGACATTCTGTATTGAACAATCATCATTATATTATTTTGGATAGTATTCATGAATTCTCTTTAACTATAAAACTAGTACTTGTTCAGTGCTGTCAATCATATTTTTAGACAAATAGTAAAATTTTTACTAGCAGATCATGAATGATTGTATATAGAGCATGTTTATTTCCATAAATACTGTAAAGGATTCTACATACACGGTGATGATTGTTATTCACTTTTTTCTTGGTCCCCTCCCAACTTTCCCCTTGATCTGAAACTATGCAGTTGTTGTAATAGCTTGTTACATTCAGAGCACAGACCTTTTTGCACCTTAAAAATTAGTCTTCCAGGTTAAGAGGAAAACCGATTCCTCCTCTTCCTTCCCAGAGGTAAGAAACACACTGTTTTAGAGTCTACTTCCACAACCATCCTCGTAGAGAAGTCTTGAGATATCTCTGTTCTTTAACATTTGCAATTACTGTACCTGAGTGTCTACAAACACTTCCATTAGCCAAATATATTTGTCAACTTTAGATTTGACCTTTCACAGTCTTGATGCTATGCATCATACTGGCATGCGTTTAAGCTTCAGCGTATTTTAAACTTCCCCACTTTATGGTTTACATGTCAAAATGATGCACCATTATTACAAAGCCATCATTATCAGAACTATTGGCCTCAATATCTCACAAGGAGATGCTGTCTTTATTTAATGCTTTCATTTTTTTTTAACCTATGTGACTGTTCCGATCACAGCATACATTATTTTGTGATCTTTTACTACCAGAATAGCTCTTATACAGGAGACTGTTTGAATATTTGGAATATATTTCAACATCTTATGCCAGCAATTTCTCTGTGGAAAGTCCAGTTTGTTATTTTTTAGCCCTCACTCTGGAAGTAACATTTTATTCCCCATTATCTAGAAACTCCATTTCACTGAATGTTTTTAACATTACAGTATTTACAAACTACTGTTGTTCTTATAGTAGGGGTTTCAGTTATTTTCCTAGATAAAACTTACATGTTTCATCTTCCCTGATAGACATTTTTATTGCAGGCTTTATCAGATTTAATGTGCACTGAAGCAGTCAATTTAAATGAATCTACGATCTTTTATAGTTACTGACTGAACAGTATTTTTAATGACTGGAATCTTTTAACCCTGGGGATGATAGATGACAGGCTACAACAAATAATAAATTATGTGCCAACCAATGTAATCCATGTCCATGTCC